TCTATTGCCAATCCTCCTCCTTTTTCTTCCCCAAAGCCCCAGAGGATAGTTGTATGTCATAGTTGCACATCCTTCTAGTTGCTGTATGTGGGACGCGGCCTCAGCATGGCCGGGGAAGCGGTGCGTTGGTGCGCGCCCAGGATCTGAACCCGGGCTGCCAGCAGCAGAGGGCACGCACTTAACCGCTAAGCCACGGGGCCTGGGTTCAATTTCTGTCTCTCTGTCCCCTTGAGCATGTGTCTTAACCCGTGTGAGCCTCAGATTTCTCACCTGGAAGATGCCAGGCATTCAGACAGGCAACGCGGGTAAAATCCGGGTGCAGTGCCTGGCATGGCAGGCACTCAGTCACTGGAGCTGTTAGGATCATGACTGATGGTTTAGGACACCTGCTGGACCCCAGATGCCATCTCCTTGGCATTGTCATTTTGTTCCCCCGAGTCCCCCTCTTTATGTCTCTGTGGTCCACATTTCAGAGGGCCTGGCCTGGTCCCCCCGCCGAGGTGGCTGCCTCTCCCTCATTCCTGGTCAGCAAATATCCCCCGGGTGCCCGATGCATTCCCTGCCCCTTTGGTGCTCCCCAGGGCAGCCCTGCCTGCCTCGGGGCTCTCCTGGGGACACGTAACCCAGCTGCCTCCCTCTTTCCTGCAGACAGCGTTCTCGCAGCTGCGGTTGACACCAGGCCTGCGGAAGGTCCTCTTTGTCACAGCCCTGGGGACAGTGGCCTTGGCCCTGGCCGCCCACCAGCTGAAGAGGCGACGGCGGAGGAAGAAGCAGGTCGGCCCCGAGATGGGAGGCGAGCATCTGGGCACAGTGCCCCTCCCCATCCTCCTGGCCAGGAAGGTCCCCTCGGTGAAGAAAGGTAGATGTGAGGTGGTGGGGAAGGGCCTGCCCGCGGTCAGGCCCCAGCTGGGCCCCTATTAACTGTGGGATCTTGGGCTAGGGACTTCCTGTCTCGAAGCCGAGTTCCCCCCGTCTGTGAGCTGGGGATGACAGTAGAACCTCCCTCTCTGAGCCGTTGTGAGGATTCAGTGGGTGAGGCGGCCAATGCATGTGTCCATCGGTAGCGGTTGTTCTTGTTATCTGAGGACCTTTGGGAGCACCCGGGTCCAGAGGGGGCTGGTAGGGCAGAGCTCCTCTGTCCAGGGAGGGAGGTCCCCTGGCTTAGGAGCAGGAAGGGCCGTATGGTTCCTGAGCCAGATGGTATTTTCCTCATCTCCCTCTTTTTTTATTTTTTTTTATTTATTTAATTATTTTTTTTGTGAGGAGGACCAGCCCTGAGCTAACATCCAGTGCCAGTCCTCCCCTTTTTTCTTGAGGAAGAGTGGCCCTAAGCTAACATCCATGCCCATCTTTCTCTATATGGGACTCCGCCACAGCATGGCTTCCCAAGCGGTGCGTCGGTGCACACCTGGGATCCGAACCTGCGAACCCCAGGCTGCCGAAGCGGAGCGCGCGCACTTAACCGCTTGCGCCACCGGGCCGGCCCCTCCCTCTTTTTTAAAATTAAGGTTTACTTTGCATACAGTAAAGTCACCCCTTTTGGCATATAATTCTATGAGTTTTGACAAACACATAGTCATATAATCACCACCACAGTCAAGAACTGTTCTATCACCCTTTAAATCCCCGGCTTTGTAGTCAGCCCCGCTCCCCTACCCCCAGCCCCTACAGCTGCTGACCTGTTTTGTGTCTGTTGGCGTGGCTTTAAAAACCTCTCTGGCGCCTGTTAATGTTGTAACCCAGCAATGCAGTGTTTGCCATGCCTGAATGTCGTGTAGATCTCTTTCCGAGGGAAGGGGTTCGCCGAGGCTCTCATCTTGGGAGAAACCTGTTCTAAGAAGCAAAAGTCTCCCTGTGTGAAAATGGCTTTTAATTGTGAATTACCACTGCAAAAGGGAAGTTTTATCTTTATAATTAGGAAAAGAAGTTTTCGACTGGTTGAGAACAGGACCTGAGAAACGCGGGTGTAGCTGGGTTTCCACTTTGCATTGGCCCCTGGGAACCTGGAGCCATTTCTGCACCAACCTCAGACCACCACCACCATCTCTGCTTTCACCTTATTTTCCCTTCCCTACGTTTCTCACTTAAAAAAAAAAAATCTTTTGAGTATTTTAAAAAGTTGCTGCCTCAAATCCTTTTTTGCAAGGAGGAGAATTCCAAATCAGTCACTGGGTCGGCAACATGGGGGAAGCCGGGTAAGAAGGAGGTGGGGAGTAGCTGGACCTTATTCCGGCAGATCTGGCTCCTCCTCCGGCCAGGCCCTATGGCTGGTGACTGACACTGTGGTGATGAGCAGGATGACAAGCAGGGGCCAGCACTGTTCGGCCAAGTGCACGCGCTTGGGGTGCTGTGCCGTCACCCTGACTTAGAAGGTCGGGACAGGCTCCCAGATGAGGAGGAAGGGGAGGGTGGTCTGGAGTGGGGAACGGCCTGTGCAAAGGCTGGGTGGGACGCCTGCGTGACCCCTGCTCTCCTGCTCCTCACAGGCCACTCCAGCCGGCGGGGGCAGAGCCCCAGCAGCAAGAGCAACGACACCCTGAGCGGCATCTCCTCCATCGAGCCCAGCAAGCGCTCAGGGTCCTCCCACAGTCTGGCCTCGGTGAGGACCTGGGGGAGGGCGCCAGCGTACCTGTCACGGCCTTGGGGCTCAGTCTCTGTCCTCAGGGGGCTGATGGACTGGTAGGAAGGTGGGAGAAGAGATTTCATTCATTCATTTGTTCTTGCATTCATCCATCCACGCGTGCCTTCAGAGATTGCCCTTGATCGCTTACCGAGTGCCAGGCCTCGGTGAGAGAAAGGTGGAGAGTGCGAGGGAGAAGTTGGGGGTCTCTTGGGGAAGATACTGTCTATGAAAGTGCATTCATTCATTCATTCATCACACATTGAGCGATCACCTGCTCTGTGCCGGGGACTCTGCTGGGTGCTGAGGACATGGAGATAAATAAGACAAAGAGAAGTTTATTTTCTCATGGGGAATGACTTTGGCTTATTCACTCACGTAGTTATTAATTCCTTCAGCGAGCACTCAGCCCTATCTCTGAGCTGGGCACTGCCCTGGGGACCCAGGGGCGAGCAAGAGATGGCTCTTGTCCTGCAGGAGCCCACGGCTGGGCAGGGCGGGTGGCCGCTGATGTGGGTGAGAGCAGGTCCTGCTCCGCCCCGGGCGTGGTGGGTGCTGCCTCAGTCTTCCCAGTCTGACTGATAGGGGGCCCAGAGCGGGGACTGGGCCGAGGGCGGGTTTTGTAGGGGGCTGCTGGTTTCAGGGCTGAACGTTGGCCTCGGTATTGCCTCCTGCTCCGGCAGTTTTTGTGAGGTGTCCTCGGGAGCTTGGAGTTGGTGGAACCAGGCCCTGCTGAGGGCCTGGCCGCTGTGGCCAGGGGCACCTTCAGGACGGTATTTGGGGAGGGCGTGTGGCATGTGGTCAGGCTGTAGGGGAGGTTCAGGGGTCCTGCAAAGGGTCTGGGAAGACGTCACCCCTTGCCCTTGGGTCCTTGTGCTGCTTGGCGCCCAGGTGGTGGCGGTGAACTCATCCAGCCCCATGGCTGCGAGTTCAGGACCGTGGGAGGCCAGAGGGATGGAGGAGTCTGTGACCACCAGCGACGGCAATGCCGAGAGCCTCTACATGCAAGGTACAGGCCAGGAGGCCGGCCTCGGGGCTCTCCCGGGGCAGGGTGGGGGCAGGAATGGCCTCCTCCCAGGAGCCCAGGCGGGGCTCAGGACACTTCTCCAGGTCTGCTCTGCAGACCCCTTTCCCCGCCCCAGAACCCTCATTCAGTGGTTTCCAGCTGTTTCTGGATGGGGCAGTCTCCATCTGAATGAAGGCCTGTGAACTGACCAGCCCTGAAAGAGTGGTCAGGACCCGGCCCACACGGTCCTGCCCGCGTTTGTTTTTTGGGGCTCTTCTGCCTCCTCGCTCTCCTGGGCCCCTCCTGAGTGCCACTGTGTGGGGTCCGGCTGTTCCCCGGCTGCTGGGGCCCACCTCTGCCTCCTCTCCCCGCCTGTGTTCAGGCATGGAGCTGTTCGAGGAGGCTCTGCAGAAGTGGGAGCAGGCGCTGAGCGTGGGGCAGAGGGGGGACAGTGGCAGCACCCCCACGCCGAGGGACAACCTCCGGAACCCCGAGACTGCTTCGGAGGCACTGTCCGAGGTAGGTGATCCTCCCCTGTGTCTTTCCTATCCCCGCCCTGGAGAAGGTTGGTGGCGTGGCAAAGGGGCAGCCAGACTTCGGGAGGCTGACTAGCAGCCCCACCTCCTGCTAGCCAGTCGCTTGTCCCCTTGGGTGGCAGTTTTCCCCTTGACCAGGATGTTGATCCAACCAAGTGAAATATTCTCATAACGTGCTTATTATAAGCACATGCCTGGCCCTGGGTCGTTACTCCATAAACCACGGTGATGATCACACCTGGTCCCAACTCTGAGGAATACGTGTGTTCAGGAAAGCCAGGAGGGAAATTGTTGTGCTCATAGTGGAGTGGCTCACACGGCCTTTGTCTTTACGTTTTTTGGCGTTGTCCAAGTTTTCTACAGTGAACATTATTTCTATATCAGGAAAGAGAAATAAAGTAAAAAGCTAAAGTAAAAAATTTTGATGAAGAGCACGTCAAATATATGTGGTATGGTGGATGTTCACTGAAGCATTGTTTTGTAATAGTTAAAAGACATGAAAAACTGGACACTATCTAAATGCCTATCAGTAGCCTCTGGAATACTATGCAGCCATTAAAAGGCTGAGGGAAAGCTGTGTGGGCTGATACGTTGCTATCTCCATGATATATCATGAAGTGAGGAAGGCAAGATGTACGATGTGTACAGTATGGCCCATGCGTATACATTTTTAAAAAGACACATCCGTGCAGATGTACGCCTGATGGTGACTGCTGGTGGTATGGACGCTTTTATTCTCCTCCGGACAGAGACACAGGATGTGTTAACAGTGATCTGTGGGGAGAGGGTCTGCAGGGAAAGGTGGACAAAGGCTTTTGTTTTACTCCTCTGTGCTTTTCAGTATCTTTCTTTACTGTTTCACTTTTGTAATTTCAGGCGCATGCTTTATAGGCAAGGTTTGTGTAGGTGGTGGTATTGTGGGCTGTTTCTGTTTTATTCTTTATAGTTTTTTGTATGTAAAAAAAACCCCAAACCCCCTTGAGCTCCTGTCCTCTGCTGGAGCGAGGTCTGTGGGGGCACCTCTCTGGGGAGCAGTCTGACAGTATCTGGAGAGTCAGTTGGGGTCTAGCCAGGAAATGGGAACAACTTCAGATGTTGAAAAAGGAGAGAGTTTAATCCAGAGACTTGGTTGCACAAGTGGAGGAGTTGCTGAGAGGCCCAGGGCTGGAGGGGGCGTGCCCAGCTCGCAGGAGCTGGGCACCTCTTGTGGGAGCTGACACCACGGTGGGGGCTGGCCAGCAGGGGTTGTCCCCACTGGGGGAGTGGGGCAGGGATGTGGTGTGAGGCAGGACCAGGAGAGGAGAGTTACTCTGCCTCCCCCCCTCCACTCCCGGCCTCCTTTCCTCCACCTCTGCCTCTGTTGGCCCGGAGCTAGTTGGCAGGGGACATGCCTGGCACAGCCGGGAACAAGTTGAAGGTACATGTGCCCTCCACCCCATCTGGGGGCATTAGCTCAGAAGCCTGTCACCCAGGCATGACCGCTGCGGTTGTGGGCTGTGAAGGAAGCGTCTGGGGCTCAACGATGCTTCAGGGCCCGTGGGTGCAGCTGCCTCAGGTCAACTCTGCGTGTGGGCAGACGATGGGCGCCTGCAGGAGTGCCTTAGAGATGAAGGGAGGTGGCTTCATTGCAGACGTTGTATCTGTTGCTGATACGAATATCTTAAAATTATAGACCTTTCATTGTTTTTCTTATTGTGAAAACAAGTAAATATTCTTCTTAGAATAGTGAAAACTACAGAAATAGAAAAGAGAGGGAGGCTCTGATCAGAGAGCTTGTGGTTGTGTGACATGGGCAGAGGCCCTCAACCTCCCTGAGCCCCGGTGTCCTCGGTGGGACAGAGTACCAGCCATGTGATCCTGGCCCGGAGTCGGCGCTCAGTGAATGATCTTTGTCATCAGTATTATTGATGCCTATAACTCTTCATCCAGACAGAACCTCTTTGTATCCTTCCAGGCATTTTTCTTTTTTTTTTTTTTAATTTTATTTATTTATTTTCTCCCCCAAAGCCCCAGTAGATAGTTGTATGTCATAGTTGCACATCCTTCTAGTTGCTGTATGTGGGACGCGGCCTCAGCATAGCCAGAGAAGCGATGTGTCGGTGCGCGCCCGGGATCCGAACCCAGGCCGCCAGCAGCGGAGCGCGCGCACTTAACTGCTAAGCCACGGGGCCGGCCCTTCCAGGCATTTTTCTATGCTAAAGGGTTTTTAACAAGTTTATTGAAATATGATTCACATGGAAGTATAATTCACATACCATAAAATTCACCAGTTGAAATTGTGCAGTTCAGTGACTTTTAGTATAGTCACAGGGTCGTGTGCATCTTCATCACCCCAAACAGAAATCTCATATTCTTAGCACTCACCCCTCCTCCATTCCTTCATCCCACCCAGCCCTAGGCAACCACTAATCTACTTTCTGTCTCTATAGATTTGCCTATTCTGGGCATTTCTATAAATGGAGTCGTATAATATGTGCCCCTTGTGACTGGCTCCTTTCACAGTTTAATGTTTCTGAGGTTCATCCTTGGAGCATGGATCACTGCTTCATTTCTGTTTATTGCTGAATGATATTCAAGTCTATGGATAGTCTACATTTTATTTTCATTCATCAGTTAATGGACATTTGGGTTGTTTCCACTTTTTGGCTGCTAGGAACATTTGTGTACAAGTATTTGTGTGGACGTACGTCTTTAATTCCCTTGGGTATATACTCAGGAGTGGAATTGCTGGGTCATATGGTAACTCTATGTTTAACATTTTGAGGACCTGCTAGACTGTTTTTCCAAAGCGGCTGCACCATTTTACATTCCTACCAGCAGTGTACGAGGCTTCCAATTCTCCACGTCCTCACCAACACTTGTTATTATCTGACTTTTTGATTCTAGCCGTCTTAGTAGGTGTGTCTAGCCGTCTCATTGTGGGTTTTGATTTGCATTTCCCTGATGGCTAATGATGCTGAGCATCTTTTCATGTGCTTATTGGCCGTTTATATATCTTATTTGGCGAACTGTCTATTCAGATTTCACTTTATTTTTAAATTGGTGATTTATCTTTTTATTATTGAGTTGTAAGGATTCTTTATATAGTCTGGATACAAGTCCTGTATCAGAGATAGGATATGCAGATCTTTTCTCCCATTCTGTGTGTTCTTTTCCCTTTCGTGATGGTGTCCTTTGAAACACAAAAGTTTTTAATTATGATGAAGTTCAATATGTCTATTTTTTCTTTTGTCATTTGTGCTTTTGGTGTCATATCTAAGAAACCATTCCCCAATCCAAGGTCATTTCACAGAGAAAGAGCTGGCAGATCTCTGCCCAAGCGACAAGGCTCTCCTGGTCACATGGAGCAGGTCTGGCCCTGTCAGAGAACTGAGCAAAGTGGCCATTGGGCCTGGGGTCCTTTTTTTTTTTTTTTTTTTTTTTTGTGAGGAGATCAGCCATGTGCTAACATCTGCCAATCCTCCTCTTTTTTTTTTGCTGAGGAAGACTGGCCCTGGGCTAACATCCATGCCCATCTTCCTCCACTTTATATGGGACGCTGCCACAGCATGGCTTGACAAGCAGTGCGTTGGTGCGCGCCCGGGATCCGAACCTGCGAACCCCAGGCCGCCGCAGCGGGGGGTGCACTCTTAACTGCTTGCGCCACTGGGCAGGCCCGGGCCTGGGGTCCTTTGGGCCTGGGGTCCAATCCCAGCTCTACCAGGCTCTAGCTGGGTGGGCGGGGCCACTTAACCTCCTGGAGTTTTCTCTGTGAAATGGGGTCATAGTAATATCCTGCTTTGAGAGATACCATGAGGCTGACAGCGAAGTACCTGGTCCAGGACAAGCGCTCAGTGAAAGGCAGCCATTTCCATCATTACCGTCCAGGTCTGAGCTCTCCTGGCTCTTTCTCCCCAGTGGCCTCAGGCCCGAGTCAGCCCTTGTCTCCTCCCTGGGGTGTAGTTACAAGCAGGTGCAGGATCTGGCAGCCTCTGTGGAAAACAGAGTCGTTGGGCCTGCCCCTGTCTGGCCTCTCGCCCCAGAAGCTCCTGGGTTCAAAGGAGCATTGCCCTCTTCTTCCCGTGCCCTGGCCTGGAGGCAGAGGGCAGCGAGGAGGTCACTGAGCCACAGGCTGCGTGCCTGGGTGCAGTGCCTTCCAAGCGTGCACAGTTAACAGCAACGGTACGGTTTGAACCCGGCTCTTCCTGGGTTCCTGACTGCTCTCTTATTATAGTAGCAAGGACAAGAGTTACAATAATAGCTGGCATGCACTGAGTGTCACCCCGGGCCAGTCCTGTCTGAAGGGCTTTGCATACCTTATCTCCTTGTGTTTTCGCTAAAATCCTAGGGAGTAGGCCCTCTTATCTCAATTGACAGATAAGGAAACTGAGGCTCAGAAAGGGGAGGTTATTTGCTCGACATCACACAGCTCAGAACTGGTAGTGCCAAGGTCGGACCTCGGTCTGCTTGGATCTAGAGCTGCACTGTTCAGTAGGAAGCCACGTGTCTCATTGAAAAGTTTCTAGAGACCACGATAAAAAGCAAAAGGAAACGGTTGAAATTAATTTTAGTAATAGATTTTATGTAATCTAGTTATAACCAAAATGTTATCATTTCAACATGTAATCAACATGGAAAATCACTGAGTTATTGTGTTCTCTCTCTTTTTTTTTTTTGGTACCAAGTGTTTGAAATTGGTGTGTACTTTTACTTACAGCACATCTCAGTTGGAACTGGCCACATGTGGGCTCACTGGCCGTGCGTGGCTGGTGGCTCCTGTATGCAGCGGCTCAGGTCTAGACCTGTGCTCTTGCTGCTGGGCCCCAGAGCCTTCTGCCCTTCCCCCAGGGCTGGGACCCCCCCTCATTGGTGAGGGAAGGGTTGGTTAGCATCGGGAGCTTGGAGGGCCTGGGTTGACGGTCATCATTGTAACTGCAGCCAGAGTCACAGCGAAGGGAGTTTGCAGAGAAGCTGGAGGCCCTGCTGCACCGGGCCTACCACCTGCAGGAGGAGTTTGGGCCCACCTTCCCGTCCGACAGCATGCTGCTGGACCTCGGTGAGCTGGGCCCCGGGCGCAGGCTGGGGGTGGGGGGGGGGCAGTGAGCAAACAGGGTGTGGCTCCCTCAGTGCCTCAGGCAAACCAGAATCCCCAGTGCCCTCAGACCTCATCTGATCCAGTGCCTTATTGCACAGACAGGGAAACAGAGGCCCCTCGAGGGACAGAGGTGGCAAGTAGGAGCAGAGCTGGCGTGAGGCCCCAGTGTGCTTTGCCCCATCCCCTTGGAAGCAGACCTGGGGACTTGGGTGGCAACATCTCTCCTGGCGGCTGTTCCAGCCTTTGGTTTGAGCCCTGTCCTGCGGGCACCGGGCGGGTGGAAGGGTTGGCTTGCATGGAGATTAGCCCAAAGCAGGCTGGAGACGAAGAACACAAGTCCTGCTGTTGCCGCCCCCTCGAGGGGAAGGGGCATAGCCTTGCTGCCGGGGAATGAAGTTCCTCAGCCAAACAGCCAATGTCGTCCTAGTGCCTGCGGCTGGCGGGACCCTGTGCGCCGAATGGGACCCCCAGGGTCCTTCCCTAGGTGCTGTCAGCCCCAGGGGGCACCATTAGACCCTGAGTGTCCAGCTCCCCGGCTCTGCCAATGGGGACACAGGCTCAGCAAGGGCTGGCCAAGGTGACACATCCTCCCCTGGCCTTTCCCCGAGTGGCTTTGCCAGTCGGAAGAATCCTGCTTCTTATGGCTTCCCCACGTGGCAGAGAAGGCTACTGGGCATTCAGGGCTGTGGCCTCTGCTTATTTGTCCGGCAAACCTTTGCTAAGTGCCCTTGAAGCCCTGGACCCCCTGAGCCCTTGAGCGGGTGGGGATGGGAATGCTGAGTGAGTGGCCTGTGGACTCCCTCTAGCCCTTTGGTATCAGTGGCTAAGTTTCAGCTTGTCCGAGAAAGGAAGCAGCTTGCCCAGGGCCACACAGCACAGCAGTCTGCCCCTGCAGAGCTCCGGGGCCACCAGGTTTCAGGGTCCAGTGGCATGGCCGTGCTGCCCTCAGCAGCCTCGTTTCCACACCTGACTGTGCCCACCTCCAAGGATGTGGTAGAATTGAAGGAGGTCACTCATTTGAGGCGACGAGCCCGGAGTCTTCACGCACAAGTGTTCAGTAAATGGGAGCTTTGCGGTCATCAGCATCGTCCGCCACAGAATTGGGTGTCGGTGGGCTTCGCATCCGCACATTCCGCAAAGCTTGGTGATCTTGGCAATCTTGGCTCAGCCCTTCTGCCTTTGCCAGAGCGGACCCTCATGCTGCCCCTGACTGAGGGCTCGCTGCGTCTTCGGGCGGACGATGAGGACAGCCTGACCTCGGAGGATTCCTTCTTCTCCGCTACCGAGGTGACTAGGGGCGGGGGGATGGGTGCAGAGGGATGGGGTGGAGTGAAGGCCAGCCCCCTGTGCGACCCTCGGGGTGAGCACCGGGTCGTGGGAACGTGAAGGCATTTCCTCCGGTGGGAGCAGAATGTGGCAGTCATCAAGTGCTGTTCCCCGGGGACTCCATGCAGTTGCTGGGGACAGAGAGGCCTGAGAAGCCAGGGGCCATAGGTCCTGTGGGGGATGGCAGGGGTCCCCTCCTCTACTGGCTTCAGCCCACACTGACCTCTCCTCCTCCAGACGTGCCCGTTGCTTGGCATTAGTCTCCTGCCATGGCCACATGTGTCAGCCCGGCTGTCCCAGCCTGGGGTGGGAGGATGTGGCCAAGTGTCCAGTACATGGCCCCTTTGGAAAGGGGCCCTGGAGATGGGGACGCTGAGGGCCAGAACTGGACTTGAACCCGGGCCTCCTGCCTGTTGTGCCAGCATTCCCTCTGAGAGGTCGGCCCCCAGGGTGTCCACTGGGCAGACGCCCTCACCCCCCGGGATGCTGCTGACACAGGCTTTGACAAGACCTTTCTCTTCCCCTGTGCCCTCCCCCAGCTCTTTGAGTCCCTGCAGGTCGGAGATTACCCCATCCCACTCTCCAGGCCCGCTGCCGCCTACGAGGAGGCCCTGCAGCTGGTGAAGGAGGGAAAGGTGCTCTGCCGGACCCTCAGGTGAGCGTGTGGGGAAGGAGGCAGGTGGGGTGGGCCCGTCTCCCTTGGAGGAGGCCAGAGAAGCCAGCAGTGCTGGTGAGGACGCAGCTGGGCTGGGCCGGCTGAGGGCCGTGGTGGGCTGGCCATGGCTCCTGCCTCAGTCGCGGGGGGCCTAGGATGGCCCCAAGTACCAAGACAGGTGGGTCTGGAATTAACAATGACAAATTAAGGTAATTAACTAATAAAATAACAACAGTTGGTACTTGTTCTGAGTTCTCAGAGCAGTCCAACCACAGAAACACGGTGGGCACTGTTCCTAAGCCCTGTGTCCTGATACACCCCCTTTCAGCGGCGGCCTGGAAGCCAGGCTCTAGGGACACACAGACCCGGATTCTCTCCAGCTTCTGCCACTTAGTAGCATGTGGCCCTGGACAAGTCACCTGACTTCTCCTACCCTGTTTTCTTGTCTGTGGTAGATTCAGGTTTCTTATTCATCTTAATGTATGATGTGAAATTCAGAATTTGGCTTTTGGTCATGACTCCAAATTTAAGTCCATGTGTTTGGAGTCCCCGACTGAAGATGGTTGACAGCTCCAGCCGAGGCCTCGGTGATTTGGATAAAGGGGAGCCAGACCAGGGAGCCTCCCGCTGTCCAGAAAGCCCAGCCCAGAGTGGGTGGCAGCCCCTGCCCTGGCGTTTTGCCAGCTGGGAACAGTTGAGCCATTTTGGTCCTTTACCACTGAGGGTTGGGGCCTAAAGGAGGCCGAGGTCAGCCCGACCCCCCATGACCAGACCTGCCAGCTGCGCCCAGTGCCATTGAGGCCGACACGTCCTCAGAGAGCATCCAGTCAGCCTCTAACTTTGGTTTGGGGGAGACCGAGGCCTAGAGAGGGGCAGGCACCTATCTGAGGTCACACTGCCAGGCCGAGGCAGGGCCACCCACGGCTCCACCCTGGCCCCTGTGGGGCGTCACTGGGCAGGGCCCCAGTGGTGTGACTGTCTGTGCTTCCCCCCAGGACAGAGCTGCTGGGCTGCTACAGTGACCAGGACTTTCTGGCCAAGCTCCACTGTGTGCGGCAGGCCTTCAAGGTGCGTGCGGTCCGGGGCACCTGGGGAGGATGAGCCAGGAATGGGGGCCGTCAGGGCCTGCCGCCACACCTGCTCCTCTGTGCAGACGGGCCACCTACCCAGCCCATTATGCTGCCCTCTCTGCCGGTTCTGGGGACCTGCGGCCCGGCAGCTCATCCCCTCCCTGCCTCCCCCTTAGGGCCTCCTGGAAGACGAGAGCAACCAGCTTTTCTTTGGGGAGGTCGGCCGGCAGATGGTGACAGGCCTGATGACCAAGGCTGAGAAGGTAGCTGGGCTGGGGGCTCTTCCTTCAGGTTTTCTTCCCTCCTCGCCTTTTTCAATTTTTACTTTTTTAACTTTTGTTTGGTTCTATAAAAAAAAAAAAAAGCCCCATCTGAAATCAAGCCGAGGAGCTTTGACTTCATCCTGTAGGCGGTGGGGGAGCTGGGAAAGGGCTGGGGTTTTTTCCTGTGCTAATTTTGAAAAACACGGAACTGTATTGCTTTTTATTTCGGATTACAATGTAAAGTAGTTTTACAAAATTCACCGACCATGAAATGCAAACCACAGAAGGTCTCCCTGTACCCCACCTGCTGAGGGAACCACTGCCTGCCGTTTGATACATGTTCCTCCTGCTCAGTTTCATAGACTGTAATCCTTGAACATTGTTATTTAATTTCCAGAGCTTGGTTTGTGTCCTATAGTGCTCTATAGCTATATTTTGTCATGTTGGAGTATATCCCGTCCATCTTTCTGGGTCAGTAGCAGCAGTTACTTTTACTGACTGCGTAGTATTCCAGTCTGTGGTTTATCTGCTTCTCCTGTGGATGGGCGTTTGGGCTGTGTTTATCACAGACACCACTATGACAGTCAGTCTCTTTCAGTACCTGTGAGGTTTTCTGGGGGGCAAAGCCCTAAGATGTGGCACTACTGGGTCCTGGGCTCAGATATTTAGAAGGCTGCCAGATTTTAAATGCCTTGACAACTTACGTCCCCGCCAGCAGGATAAGAGTGTGTCCCCTTACAGCTTGGCTGATGCTGAGTATTAGTAATCTTTTAAATTTTTAGTTTATCCATTGCATTATGTTTCTTTGATTATTAATGAGGTCGCATGAATTTTCATGTTTATCAGCCACTTGTGTTTCTTTTCTTTGATGCGTTTGAGTAAAGCTCTTGAACACACCTCTCCCTTCTGAGTCCTTTCTCCTCACATGCCAGAGTCATAGTTCTAAAATGCACGCCTGACCTCGTCACCCAGCCACTTAAAATCCTCATTGGCAGCTCCCAGTGCCCTTGGTGTGAAGACCAAGCTTCGTGCCGTGGCCTGCTGCTCTGTGCACTTGGCCCTGCCTAGATGGAGGGCCCAGAGTTTCTAGTGCACATCGGACCTTCTCCCTGATCTGGGCCTTTGCGTGTGCTGGTTCCTCTGTGCCTGGAACATTGTTCTTCAGTTCTTCTCTGTTCCTGTTTACAACTTTATTGTGAAATATACATATAAGAGTGTAAAAATGTATCTGTAGGATTTAATGAATGAAAAGATGAACCCCTGTGTACCTGGCACCCAGGTCAGGAAGAGGAACATATACCAGTATCTGGAAGCTCCCTGGTTCCCCTCCCTGCCCCTCTTCCTTGGTCACCCGTCTTCTGCGTCCCCACCGGCCATCTCTTTCCCCAGGAGGATTTCACCTGACTCGTCCCCTGGGGCCCAGGAGCCCTTGGGCTCACCCCACCCAGCCTGGCCCCATAACCCCGTGTCCTGCTTGCGGGTTGGCCTGTCCTTTTCCTCATTACTCCAAGAGCTCCACAAGGGCCTGGACCACAGCGCTCCTGGCACAGGCCTGTGCCCAGCCCGGGGCCTGGCACGGGGCAGTGCTCCATAAACATTAATGGTTCTCCTCCCCACAGCTGCTCTTCACCAAGCAAGGAGCTCAGTGCTTTACTCACGTTTCTTTCCCGGTAGCTCACTCGAGCCTGCCCACAGTCTCCACGTGGTGGATAAGGAAGCCGAACCTGGGGAGGTAAAGGGCCCTGCTCGAGGGGAAGGGGCGTGGCCTCGAGTCACTGAGCAAGGGAAGGGTAGAGCCGGGACCTGAACCCAGCTCGGCCTGGCGCCAGCCGTGCTCTTAGCCTGTTCCCTGTGGGCTCCCCAGGAGGGTGAGTGAAGAACAAGTGAGGGACAGGAAAGTGAGGCTGCAGTGGATGCCAGGAGCTTAGCAGACCGCCCACTCCATGGTGGCTCCCAGAGGGGTCTGGAGGCGTGACTTTCCCCTCTCCAGCCTCCGCCCAGTGCAGGACTTAGGCTTCATTCTTATTAAGAAATCAAGGGGGCCAGCCCGGTGGCGCAAGTGGTTAAGTGCGCGTGCTCTGCTGCGGCAGCCCGGGGTTCGCCAGTTCGGATCCCGGGCGTGCACCTACGCACCGCTTGTCAGGCCATGCTGTGGCAGGTGTCCCATATAAAGTGGAGGAAGAGGGCCGGCTCCGTGGCTTAGCGGTTAAGTGCGCGCGCTCTGATGCTGGCGGCCCGGGTTGGGATCCCGGGAGCGCCCCGAGGCACCACTTCTCCGTCCAACGTGAGGCTGAGTCCCACGTACAGCAACTAGAAGGATGTGAACCTATGACATACAACTATCTACTGGGGCTTTGGGGGGAAAAAACTGAATAAATAAAATCTTTAAAAAAAAAAAAAATAAATAAAGTGGAGGAAGATGGGCATGGATGTTAGCCCAGGGCCAGTCTTCCTCAGCAAAAAGAGGAGGATTGGCACATGTTAGCTCAGGGCCTATCTTCCTCACCAAAAAGAAAAAAAAAAAAGGTAATTAAAAAAAAAAAAAAATCAAGAAGAGGCTTAAATGGCTTGAGCAGCTCCTGAGCGCTGAGCCCTGGGAAGAGCCGTCACAGACCCAGCCCTGGCGGGTCTTTCCAGGCAGGCGGGTCCGGGGCAGGCCTGGTCTGAGAGGACGCTGGCTCTGCGGGCAGCGCCCCCGCGCTGGAGTTGTAGTATCAGGCCACTTCCTCACCGCGTGTCCCCAGGCCAGATGGGAATCCTTTCCTCGGTCCCTCGGTCTCCTCGTGTGTAGATGGGCGTGTCCCGGGGACGCTGTGAGATGAAGTCAGACATGCTGAGCAGCCCTCAAAGTGTCAGCAAGGGCCAACTCTTATCTTCTCCGTCATCCTCGTTTACATATGAGGAAACTGAGGCTCAGCCCAGGGTCATCCTAGCAAATTCTCTTTAAAACTGAATGAAAATAGTTTTTTTTTAATGATTACAAAAATGATTCAGGCTCATTGTAGAAAAAACTATGACAAGACGAGAGTGAAAAAGGAAGACAAATTGTCCCCAACCCCACCTTGTTCACATTTTGGTGAACATCTATTCAGTGCCTCCTCCGCCCGTGGCTCCTGATGAACCTGCCTGTGCCGTTCTGTCAGCTCCACCCTTCCTGGCTCTGGGGCATACCACTGACTTCCCGAAGCCTCACTATTCCCATCTGTAAAGTGGGTGTAATCTGGAACGTCCCTCAGAGGACCGTATGCATTAAATGAGTTGATCCGTATTAGAACAGTCCCTGCACGTACTAGCTTTCCATGTCCATAAGTGCACGTCCACGCCTGCAAATCATGTCGTAAGCCCCAGCCGAACCTCACGGGCCCAGAGAGTGAGGAATTCGCCCCATGTGCTGCAGTCTTAGCACCCTGCAGCAGCTGTCTGTTACACTATTCATTGCTTCGGTCGAGGCGCTGGGCTGATTGTGTTACATCGTGAGCTCGTCGACTCCCGCAGAACAGCCATACGAGTGTGGGGCTGTCACTTCTCCCGTTTCACCAGTGAGGCCCAAGGTCGTGGAGGTTTGACTCTTTGGCTGCCTGGCTCAGCCTCATGTCCTCACGCATCTTTCCAAAGTGAGCTCATGCTGTAGCGTGTGCGCGTCTCCTGGAAGGCGGTCGGCACTCAGTAACGAGCTGGTCTGAGACAGCTGCGCCCTAGTGTCGGGTCTCTCCCGGACATCCCCTGGTCTCTGCACAGGCACATTGAGGTGGGCAGGGGACACTTCTTGCCTCGTGTTCTCCATGGCTGCTGCTCAGGGATAGGCCCTGGTCCTGCCATGGTGTGTCCCCCACCCGTGGGCCAACCTGTCCCTGGGGATCTAGTCCAGCAGGGTCTGGGACCTCTCCCGTGACCAGCACAGGCTGTGCTTCTCCCCACAGAGCCCCAAAGGCTTCCTGGAGAGCTACGAGGAGATGTTGAGCTACGCCCTGCGGCCGGAGACCTGGGCCACCACGCGGCTGGAGCTGGAAGGCCGTGGGGTGGGTTGGTTTGTGCTGCGCCCCAGCATCCTGGGGACCCTCGTACCTGAGATCCTGGAGCAGGGAGGGGGTGCCTGTGCTGAGCTCTGCCTTGATTCCGGGGTCTGAGATGGCACCATCATGCTACAAGCCCCCAGTTCCTGCCCTGCCCTGCCTCAGGCTGGGAGGGAGATGGCCCCAGTTGCCCCCATTGCAGATGGAGATGTGTCTGCTCGCCCATGTGTTCCCACCCAGGGCCCCCGTCACCCTTGCCTGCTCTGGCCTCAGTCTTCCCATGTGCCAGCGGCCCTGCAGCTCGGGCGCCACAGGCCTCAGAGCGCCCCTGCCCTCTTGCAGGTGGTCTGCATGAGCTTCTTCGACATTGTGCTGGACTTCATCCTCATGGACGCCTTCGAGGACCTGGAGAACCCCCCGTCCTCCGTGCTCGCTGTCCTCAGGAACCGCTGGCTGTCAGACAGCTTCAAGGAGACGGTGGGTGCTACCCCCACAACCAAGTGCACGCACACTCAGGTGACCCCATGCGTTCACATCGACCCCACTGGCCTCCATCCCTGGCTTTGGCACCACGGCTGGGCTCCCCACCCTTCAGGCAGCAGTCACCCGCTGGGCAGGCTCCTGCCCGCTGCGATCTGGGGCTGCCAGGCCTGGCAGACTAGGCATCTGCCCTGGAGAAGCTTCCCAGGGGATCCCACTGCTCTGCTGTGCACCAGTTTAGAACCAGTGTGCTGTGCATTTTCCTTCTGTACTATGGTTTCACTGAGTAGTTAATTTGACTCATTCTGTGCTGGCATGAATTCTCTTCAATGTTAATGCATCCTAGTAAATTAAGTTAAAATATGAGGAAGAAAAGAGGACCAGCAGGAGAGCAGCCAGCACAGGGACCCCACAGGGCAGCTGTGCTGTGTGGCCTGGCGGGGTCTGGAGGGGGCGGAGCTGGTCTTTTACAGGCAGTAACCATGGATCCCCACACTGAATGACGTGGGGGTGCCAGGTCATGGCCATTTTACAGAAGAGGAAACTGAGGCCCAGAGAAGTTCAGTGGCTAGTCCAGGGACCCACAGCAGTAAGAGTTGGAGTCAAGATTCAGATTTCAGTATGTCTGATTCCTGATCGAGGGGCGGGAAACAGCAGAGCTCAGGCACCAAGCCCCGTCTTCCTGCTGGGGTGGGGTGAGCTGGGGGTGAGGGCTTGGTCCAGGGCCGGGAGATAGGTAGGGGCTGCGGGCCCAGCCTGTTATTCTGACACCTGGTGGGGTCTCGTCTTTGATTTAGGCCCTGGCCACTGCTTGCTGGTCAGTTCTGAAAGCCAAGAGGAGGCTGCTGATGGTGAGTGACCCACAGGGTGCCTGGGGAGGCCGTGCTGGGCCCTGGGTGTGGTGCCCAGCTCAGCTGACCCTCCGTGCGGCATGTGCTGGCCCCTGGTCTGGGGGTAAGACAGGACAGGGTGGGGAGGAATGGGGCTGGTGCAGGGAGGCCTTGCTGAGCCCCCAGGCCCTGCTGCACGTTTTGGCCTCTGTCACAGCACTGGCACCCATCCTGCCATGAGTCCCCCTTGACCAGGAGGCCTCAGAGGCACCGGTGGATCCACTTCATCTCCTCCACCAGGGCCTTGCACAGAGTAGGCCATCAGGAACTGGCGAAGGGATCAGAAGAGGGGAAGGGTGTCCTCAGAGGGGGGCAGGGCACATGCAAAGGAGTGGCAGCTGGCTTGGCAGAGGTGGCTGGGTGGGGGCAGGGTGCCCCCGGAGCAGGCAGAGCAGCCTTCCTCCCGCCCACTGGGCTGCTGTTATCTACACTCGCAGGCGGCGGCTGGCCGCGCTCTCTGGGCTACAGTCCATGTTCCCTCTGTCAGCCAGGCTCTGCTGCCTGGCTGATACCAGCTGCCACTGCCATGTGCACCGGCCACTTCCTGTGCCGAGCCCGCCTCGGGCCCCTCCACGTGCGGTCCTCACAGCAGCCCTGTGGTTCCCTGTCCAGCAGAGGTGAAAACTGGAAGTACAGTCACTTGCCCAGGGTCACCCGGCAAGCACGTGAGGGAGCCGGGCCTCCCTTAACACGACCCCAGCGCCTGGCCGCCTCACCCTGCCCGTCCCAGCCTCAGCCTTGCCGCCCCCCACAGGTGCCCGATGGCTTCATCTCCCATTTCTACTCCGTATCGGAGCACGTTAGCCCCGTCCTGGCCTTCGGCTTCCTCGGGCCCAAGCCCCAGCTCTCTGAAGTCTGTGCTTTCTTCAAGGTAAACAGGGAGCGCAGGGCTGCTGCTGCCCACCCAGGCTCTGCCCGGCCCCTGGGAGAGGAGCCCCGGGGGGTGCAGGAGTGCAGCGAGGGCCTGGGCCTGCTCCCCGAGACAGGGCCGGGCGGGGGAGCCTGGAGAGAGCTGGCTGCTCCTCCCACGGGGGGCCTGGCCCAGGTGGGTCCAGAGGAAGCACTGGGGGGCAGGAGCCCGAGGACAGACGAGTCTGAGTTGGGACTCCAGTGGTCAGGAGGGGGCCCTGGATGGAGTGGAGGGCCCTGGTGGCGGGGAGCGGGGCCCCATGCCAGCCCTGTGCCCCAGCACCAGATCATGCAGTACCTGAGGGACATGTTCGACCTGGACAATGTGCGCTACACGGCGGTGCCGGCACTCGCGGACGACATCCTGCAGCTGTCCCGGCGCCGCAGTGAGATCCTGCTCGGCTACCTGGGGGTGCCGGCGGCCAGCAGCGTGGGCCTGAACGGCGTGCTGCCCCGCGAGAATGGGCCCGTGGACGAGCTGCACTAGTGACGACGCGGGCTTTGGGGGGCAGAGGAGGTTGCTTCCTCCCCATCTTTGGGTTGGCATCGAAGGGCTGGGGTGTGGCCATCAGCAAAGGCAGAGCCCAGGCCGTGGTGGCCAAAGGCAGTTGCCCCTGACCTTGTCCCCCATCACCTGGGAGTCCCCAAGGCCCAGGGGGCAAACTTTCTTGGAGAGGGATGGAGCCCCTAGGGGCCTGCCTGAGTGCCCTCACCTGTCCCTGGGGGAGGCAGAGGCTAGACCAGTGGCCACTGGGGCCCGAGGGAGAGGAAGGTAGCGAGAGAGAGAAGGTGTTGTGAGGAGAATTGGGACAGGCAGAGCTGGGTGCCCTGGGTGTGGGACCCTAAAACCTCCCCAGGGCTGCTGACACGTGGGGCTGGGAGGGTGGCGGTGAAAGGTGGGGGTGGCAGGGCTCTGTGGTGCAGGTCACGGATGTTCTGAGCTAGAAGGAACCTGGGCTGGATGGTCTCAGAATCTAATCTAATCTGGCCAGTCCTGATGGCCCCCCATCCCTGCCACCACCCTAGAGAGTTTGCAACTCCAGAGAGTGAAGCTGGGGGGCACCTTGGTGGGTGGCAGGCCTGGACCACCCAGAGTGGGACAGAGGTGGACCTGCTTTCCTTGTGCTCACGTCTGGGCAGGGACCAGGAGGCTGTCCTCTGACATTCCCTTGCCCTGCCGAAGATTCTCATTTCTCTTCCCACCTCTGCCACCACCAAAGATGGAGGAGGTGGGGCTGGTCCTCCCGTCCCCAACCCCTCCCTCTCTGAACTGGGAACTCCCTGGGTGGTGCTCAGCGCTGAGCTGGGGGCTCTGACCAGGGGTCATCCCGGGCCCATCACCTCTGCTACCATTGGCAGTTGCCCCAGGAGTGAGGGGGTCCAGGGACCACGTGAGGGGAGATCAGAGGATGTAAGTGGCTGGACCAGCTCCCCAGCCCTCATTGGGACAGGAAACTTGCCTGGCACTTTTGCCTTCAACTCGACGCACAGATGCTCTCGGGCACAGACGCTCTGGGCCGCGCAGCAGTGTGGGCCCGCCTCCCTGCTGCAGGCAGGCTGTGGCATTTGTCCCCACGCTGAGGGTTTCTGTCAGCCCTGCAGGCGCACTTCTCACAGTGTTTTCACCCGCACTGGGGTGTTTTATTTATTGCCTTAACACTTTATTTTGAGGGTCTGCCCCTTCCCAGGTTGAGAGGCCTGCGAGAGAAATAGATTCCTCCTGGCTCCCCGTACTCTGGAGGTGGAGGACTGGCCCGCAGGCTCCCCTGAATGGCAAAGGGGCCCCAGGGGCGGCAAGCTTGCCCATATGGAGGAGCGGGAGAGGGGAGATGGGAGGGGGGATGTGGGGCGGGGCCCATCCTCTCTGAGCCCACCCCCCTCCCCACATCCTCCCTCCCGCTCCCCAGGCTGGAGGACCGCTGTGCACTAACCCTGGTTCTGGCTCCACATCCACCTCCCCGAGGTCGATGCCCAGGAGGGAGCAGCCTCCTGGGCAGGAGGGAGCTGGGGTGGCCCTCCTCCATCCCGACATTCCATTCATTTGCACTTACCCTGCGCTGTGAATGTAATCTTGGGCCTGTGCCCGGCCTGTGCTGATTTGCTCCCACATCACACAGAAGTGGCATTTTCATTTCATCTTTGTTTACACGTCCATGCACTGCCTCTGGCACGCGATTTGTTGCAGCTTCCAACATTTGTATGGTAGAGCATGTGTGCGTCAACTTTGAGTCAAATAAATGGTTTAAACAATTTCCTTCCATGTTGCTGTGCTGCTGGGTACGCGTGGGGCCATTTGCTTCCTGGGCCAGAGCTGGGGACCCGCTCTTGGGTGCGGCTCGTGGAGGTTCCAAGACAAAGGTTGAGGGCGGCCTGCTGGGGGCTGTGAGTCCACTTTGTGCCACTTGGCAGCCTGGCAGGATCCACGTGTCCCTCAGCAGGGAGGGCCCTTGCGGATGGGGGTGAAGGGAGAGAGGGGCCAGTGCAATACTTAAGGACACAGGTGTGGCGGGCAGCCTGCGTGTGGATCCAGCTCAGGCAGCATCCAGGCAAGGCCGCTCCTCTCGGCCTCCGTGTCCACATCTCTAAGATGCAGGGGCTGCACCAGGCGGGAGTGTAGACTCGGGCTCAGTCACTGTGAACGCCTGAGCTGGTGAGGGGCTGGGACAGGTGGGAACGGAGCAGATCCGAGCCTGCCAGATCTCAAGTGTTTTCACGGGTAGTCGGACATCGCAAGTTTTATTTGAAAGGTACTTTTAAAAAAAACTTCACTTTGAAAATTTTAAATGTACAGAACAGCTAAAAAGAAAACTATATAAAGAACACCCATAAAACCAACACCTCGAGTCAGTAATTAATATCTTGCCATATTTATTTCATGTATATATTTCTTTCCTAAAAGGTTTTAGAGTAAGTTTCAAATATGTACTTGTGGTGGAAGAGGGAGAATCCCCCTCTGCTCCTTCCCTTAAGGTTCTTATGGCTGGCCAAATAATTAACAAGACAAGTTAGCAGGAGAAAATAATACCAAGTTTAATAACGTATACATGGGAGAAACCAGGGACACTGCGTTTCTCAACACAATAGCAGAAATTCTCGTCTTAAATACCATGTTCAGCCAATGACAAAGGAGGATGTTGGGGGTGGGGGGAGTCAGTTACAGGAGATTACCACTAAAGCACAGTAAACTAGAGTAAGGTTATTATGCAGATTTAAGGCCTCACCTTCCACACTGATAAGTCTCTAGAAATGAGGCCATCCCCCCTCTTCCCAATACAGAGAGGAGGATACCTTTACAAATGGAGATTTCCCTTATAAATGTAAATGTTTGTCTGGCAACTCCTCGCAGGGCCATCCAGAGAATGTGGCCAGAGAGACATAAGATGGGCTTGTTGGTGCCTCTTCTATTGTAACATCTATTTTACATTATATTCCAGCCATCAGATAGAAGGTCTGTTCCAGGAAGGAGTTACTGTGTCAAATTCCTTAGGCAGGTAGTGGGGGAGGTCAGATGTCCGTCAGAGAAAACAATCAAGGTAAAGAGATATATTTCAGGGTGGCCAAATCTTGATCTCCCACATACTTTACCCCTAAACACTTGAACAAGCAGATCTTAAAAACAAGATAGTTCTCTGGCATAACCACAATACCACACTCACACCTAAAAAATGGATCAATAATTCTCTAATACCTGCTGGGATTCTGAAAGGAAGAGCTTTTCCTGATGACCTGGAGATGGACTCCAGTTCCACCTGAAAAGGATAAATGTTTGACTCTTTCCCTTTACCAATTTTAGAGCCACAAGCTGATATAGTCACCTCCAGTGCTGGCAAATAAGTGTTTGGTTTAAACAGCTTTGGCAAGGTTTAATTTGTTTGCCATGAAGCACACTAACTTTAATATTTTTTTTGAGTAAATTTACAAAGGTGTGCACCTGTTACCACAATACAGTTTTAGAACATTTCCATCACCCCAAAAAGACTCCTCATGTCCATTTGCAGTGAATCCCCCAGGCCACCACCACTCTACTTTCTCTCGACTTGCCTTTTCTGGACATTTCCCGTAAGTGGAATCATACAATATGTGGTCTTTTGTGCCTGGCTTCTTCAAGTAGAATAATGTTTTTGAGATTTGTCCATTTTATGGCATGTATCAGTATTTTATTTCTCTGTTGCTGAATAGAATTCTGCAGTGAGTTTTCCCCTTATTTTTTGAACACCACGATGGACTCACAGGTTTTTATTTATTCGCTATTTAGAGTTAGTTACAGTCATTCTTCTGATGCTCAAATGGTCACAGATTTGGCCAGTGGGAGCCCCTCTGAGCTGGCTCCTGGGTCCTTTTGACACCGCCCCAATCAGTCTTGAGCACTTCCTTTCAAGCATAACGAGATATTCCAGGGAGCTCAGAGTCTCCCAGACCAGAGCTGGGAAGGCCCTGAGGGGAACCCTGCCCCATTTCTGTGGCAGACAGTGGACTGTTAGAATCATGGCCCCCACTGATCATGCCTCTTGGAATCCACGATCTTGGATAGTCCTCTCCCGTATCGGCTTGGGGCTTGGCCCTGTGACCTGCTTCAGCCAGTGAGACAGAGTGACGGGATGCGAGCAGAGGCTTGAAGAGCCCTGGGGCGCTGGGACCTGCCCTCTTGGGAAGCACTGCTGCCATGAAAGGAACCTGGCTCCTCTGCTATGGAAGCCACATGGAGGAGAACACGGCCACCCTGGCCAGCAGCCTCAGCTAAACCCAGACTGGGGGGCCCCTCTCGGACCACACATGCCCAGCCGAGGCGCCCGCTGCATGAGGGACCCCAGCAGACCTGCCCAGCTGAGTCCAGAATTGCAGATCTTGAGCAGTAAAACGGTGATGGCTTTAAGGCAGTCGGTTTTGGGCTGGCTTGTTACACAGCAGTAAATGACAGACTCCAGCCCCCTTGTTGATGAAAGGGGAAATCGAAAAGTGTGGGGCGGGGGGACCACCCCGGTGCATTCAGCGAGTCCACAGCAGGTCCAGGATGGACGCCCAGGTCTCCTGGACCCAGCCCAGTGCTCTGTCCACACCCCGTGTCCTTCACCTTGGAGTGGTTGTATCTCACTGGGTCATGAGCAGCCCTGGGGCATCCGTTGCATCCCCCACGAGACCCATTCTCGCCAGCGTGAGGGGGCCGTGGAAGGTAGATGTTGTAGTGCCGTCTTTGGCCCGCGAGGGGGCTCACACACCAAGTGCTCAATAAACAGTGGACTGAATTACCATATAAATGGTTCCCAGGATGGACGCATAAATGTGACAGGACAGTTGGAGAAAGCTTATGCATCTGTTCACCAAGTATCTACTGTGCACTTACTGTGTACCAGGCACTGCCCAGGTCCGCACAGGCGGTGGTGGAGTGCTCTGGGGCTGGCTTGAGAGAGCTGACCACGCATCTCTCCCCATCTCCCTGTCACTCACATCATGGTGGTACTTGAAAGAGGCCCCAGGAGACAGTATTCACACCATAGATCAGCAAACGCCATACACCA